CGACGTTGTGTCCTTGGGAAAGGCACTTTACACGAATTGTCCTCACTTCACTATGTGTGTGTGGTGTGGACACACATGCATAGCCTACAGACGCGCTTGTTCTGTCAGTGCATATGATATGGCATGGTATGTGCACCATTACGAGTTTTGGGGTCTTTAGATCTAATCTAAGTCAGATTGGGAAAGTTAAAGCCAATGAACTAAAAATAAAAGTACGCTTTGCCTTGACGCTGAACAAAAGATGGAGAGTGGCGTTCGTTTGCGGCTCTTTAGTCTTTGGTAACGAGAGGGGTGAACTTCCCAAACACCAACTTTCCCAACTTGGTCCAAGATCCCTTTGTTCCGAAATGACAACAGAGAAAAATCTCCATTATCGTTGCCTTGAACAAAATGTATAGTGTGTGGCTGTCTGACACAATTACTACATTGTATAATTATTCTAGTAGTGAGAGGCACTGAAGGACAAAAGGCCCCGTGGAACGAAGCCATATGGCTTAACTGTAAAGTTTGGAGAAGCCAAGCGAACTTAGAATTTATAACCTCTTAGGGAGAAGTATCTAGGATGGGTATTTTAATTACATTTTTAAAAATGATTAAGAAAATGATTAATCACCCTTGTTTGTTTTTTTCCATCTCTTCAACTGTCGGACTTCTTCGGTTACCATAAATTTAACATAAGTTAGCATTTTTTTAGGCCCCCAAGAATTGCCACGTATCCCAGGTTCGCCCAGTGGAGAAAAGAAAAAAAGAAAAATCCAAACAAATTGAACAAGTGAATTCAGTAACGAGCAACTTGCACAGAGGGGCCAATTTACCGGTGTATGGCTGACGTCACACGACCTTCTCGGTGAGGTCAGCGGCTACCAGTAATTAATCATGATTAAAAATATTTTATATTTTTATATAACTGGAATTCTCGGCTGTTTGTATCAAACGATGAGACGTGTAAAGAATAATATGAACTAGCTGTACGACACCTCGTTTCACGCGATCAAAGATACTATATTATTATAACCATAATTTT